CTTTGATGAAAAAGTTGTAAAAAAACAGTTTTCATCAAAGTTAAGTATTCGTTTGACTTTGTTTTATATGAAAATTGTCCATTAAAATGATTTTTTTTTTTTTTACAATTGATTATGAAAACTTGTTTCCATTGTCTAAAAAAAAACTTCAACTGGAAAATAATTTCCCACCATTTTGGTGGGAAAATCATTTCCTCCAAAACAAAACAAATAGGCTCGTGAGGCTGGTGGGAAGAAAAAAATTTTGCCCGGAAAAAAAGCTATCAAACAATACAAATTGAGTGGAAAAGGAAATCATTGTCCATTTTCCATGGAAAATAAGACATGTCAAACACAGCCTAATGGTAGCTTGAGTCTGACTCTTTAAAAATTTATCCTTTTTAAATTTATTTTAAATTATCTATTCTCTTAATAAAATAATTTTATACATAAATTAAATATTTTTTTATGTTTTTTAACCACACATTCTTCAAAAAATCACTAAGACCATGTTTGATTGCAACGAATTCTATGGAAAATGTTACATCCGAAGAAAAGGAATTTCACTTTACCGTTTGATTGCATCATGGAAATGGAAACCGAATTTCAAAATACAAAAAACTTAAAATTCATTTCCACATTTATGCTATGTTTGGTACCAATTCTCATTTTCAACAGTAAATCAATTCTCATTTTCAACCACACATTTTTCAATAAAATAATATTTTCTATCACATCAATAATTTTATCTTCTTTTTCAACAACACATTTCCCATCATATCACTATTCAAAATCAATTCTTCCCCCAAAAAATCTCTACCGAACACACTTACCTATCAAACGGACCATAATATAAAATCTATTCTATCAAAATATAGAGCTTAGACAAACCCGTGATTGCATTTTTGATCAATTAAACAATGTGTTAGTAAGATTCAATTCGATTTGGAGAAGGGCTACCGATATATTAGCCAAATGTTACTTAGATTCATGGTTAACACCAAAAAATAATATTATTTATTTAGAGTTTATATGATCATTGTCATGTGACAATAGAGTCACGGTCATAACATTATTGCCTGATTATTTAACTCTTATT